GAGTAAAAGAGAAAAAAGAAGGGAATTGTCGGAGTCCAGACAATAAATCAGGGCAAAAGTGGAGTTTTTATTTAGCTGTAAAAATCAACAGCAGTGTGGTCTTGGGGTGAATGCTTGAAGTTAATCAATTTTATTATGTTTTCCCCTTTTTCTTGTTTTTCCCATCCTGCTGCTTTATTTGACCATTATTTATTTTCCTTTCTCGTCTCTTCTGCAGATTTTGATCTTTCGTTAATATTTTTTAAATGAAACAATGGATTCAGAATAATAATAGCAAAAGGCTTGTTTGGAGTTATTGTTTCTACAACTATTTTGTGTTTACTATATGTTAGTAGTCTGGATAATTCTTATCTTGTATTTACGTTTTCTAATTTTTGCAAATGTGTTGCTAAGAGTAAAAAAAACAGAAAGAAAAAGATACACAATTAAATGTTTTTCTGTTGTAAAATTATTTTGATAAGGTTAATTTAAATTAGCACATTAAGATAATCATATTTATTTATTTGTTTACCCAAATCGTAACTGACCTACATTTGGTTCAGTCAGATTTTCTCCAGCACAACTGAAAGATTGTTTATGAATCTATGTAACACATCTAATCTCTCCAGAAGTGACCAAACTAGGAGAAATCATCCATCCCCATCCATCCATCCATCCATCCATCCATCCATCCATCCATCCATCCATCATCTTTAACCCGCTTCGTCCATTTTGGATCACGGGGGTCGCCGGTGCCCATGTCCAGCAATCACTGTGCGAGGGGCAGGGGACACCCTGGACAGGTCTCCAGTCCATCACAGGGACACATAGAGACAAACAACCATTCACTCTCTCTCTCTCTCTCTCACCTAGGGCCAATTTAGAGTTACTAATCAGTCTAACATGCATGTTTTTGGTCTTTTTGAGGAAACCGGAGTACCCGGAGAAAACCCACGCATGCACGGAGAGAACATGCAAACTCCACTCAGAAAGGCCCCTGGACCAGGATTTGAACCTGGGACCTGCTTGCTGAGAGGCAGCAGCTCTACCAGTTGCACCACTGTGCTGCCCTTAGGAGAAATCATGTTTTATTAAAATTGTATATCCATATGTGAATGATGTTTGTCTGCATACCAACTGATGACCGGACATACAGTGAATATAAAATCTTCAAACTTTGGCAACATGTCTCATTTTTTAATACAAAACAATGAAACCAACATAATGAATCATTTTCAAACAGTCCACGCCTTTAATGTGACCCAATTAATGTACAACTAAACTGAAAATAAAATCTGTGCTGCTTTCCTCTCCTCAGCTGCCTGATGGTTTGCCAGAATCTCCACGGAGCCGATTGAGAGTCTATCCAAGGCCTCACCGAACTCCCACATCCAAGCTTTTGCTTCAGCAACAGCCAAGCCTGCGGACCGCTCAGCCCCCCGGTATTCCTCAGCTGCCTCCGGAGTGCCATCAGCCAACAAGTCCCGATAGGACTCCTCCATCAGCTTGACAGCCTCCCTAACCCGGGGTGTCCACCATCGAGTTCGAGGATGGCCACCACGAGAAGCACAGATACCCTTGTGTCCAGTGATGGCGGGCCAATAGAGGACGCCGCCCCACCACTCACCACATTACCTTGAATAAGACATAGAAAAGTTAAATAAAAATGAAATAAAATAATTTTTTTGAAATATATGCATACATTTTTTTTAGTTTTGTAAGATTAATATTTTATAGTTGAGTAAAGTTGTTTCATTCAGCGACATTGTCTGATTGGTGATGACATACATGGGGCGGCTGTAGCTGAGTGGTTAGAGCAGTTGTCCTCCAATGCAAGAGTTGGGGGTTCGAATCCACCAGTAGTCACATGCCAAAGTGTCCCTGGGCAAGACACTGAACCCCTCATAGCCTCCGATGTGTGTCCCATCAGTGTATGAATGTGATCTAAAGCACTGATTAGTCTCTTTAGAATGATTTGTTCAATTAGCTTTGTAGAGATCTAGTAGAGTGCTGTATGAATGGGTAAATGAGGACACAGACTGTTGTAAAGCGCTTTGAGTATCTCGATAAGATAGAAAGGTGCTATATAAGTACAGTCTATTTACATATTTTCGCCCTGGGGTGCAAAAATTTTTGCCCATAGACTCGTTTTTTCATTCATTCAACTTTTATTTATACAGGTTAATCCCATTGAGCCTCAGGGACTCATTTACAAAAGAGACCTGATTGCTTAACAAAGAGTGATATCCACTCAAAACAGTGGATAACAACGACAACAATAGACAATCATAAAAGAGGCATACAAAATTATTATTATTATTATTTTTTTTACAAATTAAAATGGGTAGCACGGTGCCGCAACTGGTAGAGCTGCTGCCTCTCAGCGAGCAGGTCCTTGGTTCAAACCGCGTCCAGGGGCCTTTCTGGGTGGAGTTTGCATGTTCTCTCCGTGCATGCGTGGGTTTTCTCCGGGTACTCCGGTTTCCTCCCACAGACCAAAAACATGCATGTTAGGCTGATTGGTAACTCTAAATTGTCCCTAGGTGTGAATGAGAGAGTGAATGGTTGTTTGTCTCGTTTGTCTCTATGTGGCCCTGTGATGGACTTGCGACCTGTCCAGGGTGTACCCCGCCCTTCGCACAGTGATTGCTGGACATGGGCACCGGCGACCCCCGTGACCCAAAATGGAATAAGCGGGTAAAGATAATGGATGGATGGATGAAATTAAAATGGCAGCCAAAAGGACAATCAAAAGGAAAAAGTAGTGAAAAAAACAGCTAGATTATGAGGCAGTGTAGAAAACTAAAAACAGGAACATGTCTGCATTGGTTCTTGCCAGGAACTTAACAGATTTTTAAAGCCACTTAGAGCGGTCAAGGTTGAGAGCTTCAGATCATTTTGCAAGATATTCCAGGAAACAGGAGCGGAGTAGGAGAAGGCCCTTTTGTGTAGTTCAGTCCTCACTGAGGGAACACTGCAGGTAATAATGTCCTGAGAGTGCACACTGTAGCTGCACTCATGCAGAGACGTGTAGGAGGAGATGTATGAAGGCAGCAGACCAAGAAGTGATTTAAAGATGAAAATGTACCAGTGAGAGAGTCTGCGTGAAGTTAATGATGACCAGTTAACCAGTGAATACAGGGTGCATTGGTGGGTACGATAATCACAGCCAGTTATGAATCTTAGTGCACCATGATAGACAACACCCAACATCTGCAGGGTTCTTGTAGGAGCGTTCATGTAAATAATGTCACTGTAATCAATGGAGGGAAGGAAAGTCACAGATACAAGGTGTTTCCTAGCATTCAGAGTTAAAGTTAGAAGTTAAAAGTTGTACATGCACAGTTAGCTCCTCTTCAATACAAGAGATAGGACCATTCTGGGAGCACCTCTCCTGCGCCCAGAGCTGAATGCATGGTACGGATCGTGCTTCCTGAACAGATTGTGCAGTGACGCTCACAACCAGGCTATGTGTGAGAGAGGCTAGCTGCTGCAGGTAGGCTTTAAGTCATTGAAAGCCCTTTATCTATCATTCCCACTCTGGACTATAAACTGGATTCTGCCAACAATCCTTTTACTCTAGTCATCAAGGAGTTGAACTGTTGAACTTTTTGCCTCTCAGTAAAAAAAAAACATTAATGGGGATTTCATCGACTCTGAACTCTCACTTGTCTGTATATATATTTGTAAATATTATTTAATACAGTTCACTTCTTGCACTACTGTATATGGCTGTCAGTGAGTGTGTTATACAAGGTATCACATCACTCCAGCAGTCGAACCAAGATATTCTGAACTAGCTTTATTATAAACCATCCTATATATAAATATTATTTAGGACACATGTATGTTGCATATATGTACATACATACATACATACATACACACACACATA